ACACACACACACACACACATATATATATATATGTGTGTGTGTGTGTGTGTCATCAGTAGTGTAAGAACCTTAAAAAGTTTCAATTGAGAGTCTAAGGATTGGATGATTTTGTAAAGAACTGGCACTGAGCTTCATTTACAAAATTATATAATATATTTATTAATTTACGTTTGCTTTATTAAGCATTTTACATATTCTATTTTGTCTCCAAATTTATTGGAGAACCAATCAAAAAACCATCCGAAAATTGTGGAACCCAGTCTAATGAGGGACATTTTCAATTACATCCTCTATTAACCCATTACTTATAAATAAAAAGATATGTGTATTTAAATAATATGCAATATTTGTTGAGAGCCCGATCTAGAAGAACAATATTACACAAACTTTCAAAATATGGTATTAGAATAATATTCTAAATGATATTTTGTTACATTTTCCAACTCACGCTATCTGTCTTTTACAGTTACAATAATGAATCAACAATGAGCATTTGAAACCTCTTAAGAGTTTTACTTTGGTTCACAATATTATTTTTATAAATTTCATTTGACTAGGGTACGTTATGAATAGCTGTTTCTTGATAATTAGAAAAAGCTTTCTTTTCACCATTGTAAACCAGATAAGATAAATTAGAACAATACCATATATTGGTCTTGAATGTTTGTGAAAAAGCTTTTTCTTGTACTTCACTACTTGAAAGACAATTTCTTGCTCAAAAAACCTTGCTAAATTTACTAAAATTAGGTTATCGTTGTATTTTCTTCAAAAGTATGTTATAATTAAAAGCGATTTTTTTTATATGTAGAAGAACTCAAAGAAAAAAATAGAAGACAGAAGAAATAGTTTCACTTTTTGCTGAAACTTCAGCAGAGAAATGCATTTTAATTAATGTCCAATCAGAAAAAAAAGGTTTTTATTGAATGGAGTTCGAAGTTTTGGAGGATCCTAACAATTGAATCTTATTAGCATATATAGCTGGGTTGCAAAAGTCTTCTACAGCTTTGCCTTATCTCTACACATATAGTATTTGTTTTGAATTTATATCGAAATATCATTTCACAAAGGGTTTTCCCTAAGTTATTTGATTGAGAAGAAAATTTGAATATGATGCCAACTCCAAAATAACACTTAAGTGAGGTAAAGATTAGATAAATATACGTGTACTTTATAAAATATCTAAACAAGTAATCCGTGACGAATGCTTTCAAACAACACCAGAAAAGCACAAGAAATAAGAGTTCTACGATAAAACCCACGTCTATTTTATTCTGCTTCACCGGGTTCAAAATACCGTATTTTACGTGTAACATTGTAGATCATGTCATCGGTTTCTCTGAGTGAGTCTCTTTATGTATATATAAATGTATATACATAATTACCAATACAGTTTTTATAATTTAATGTAATGTAATGCAGGTACAGAGGAAACAACTGAAAGTTGAAATCCAGTCAGGAGTTTTTAATATCACTTTGGATAATTTGTAGTTGTTTATGGATAAATCTTAAACACTTAAGAAAGAGATAATATAATATTTAATTAAATTTTCTAAACGAATTATAAAAAAAATTAAAACAACTTCCCTAAATATCAATATATGATACTCAAACATATTACGTGCAACCACATATAACTGTATAAGGAGAAATATACGCGAATGCAATTGTATATACAGTTTTGTTTTAGCAACAAGGTGCTTTGACAAGAAAGCATATACTGAATTCTTTAAAACTGTGAAAAGGAACTGTCTTTAATTCTGTAAAGTAAGAAAGAAGTAACTGTCTATTTATTTGAAGGCATGTTTGTGTTTTCTTTATAATATCATAAGTGTATATATTTTTTTCGGATGAAGTATCAAAAGACAAAAGTGCTTGGCAAATCTACGTTCTGATTAGAATGTCTGGAAACTTATAAATCTGCCAACACACAAAGCAGTTGAATTTAGGTTGGTATGAAGTAAACACACATTTCAATGATCGGGCTGGTTGAGCAGCATATGATAAAATTTAGAATGCTGAAGGTTCTCGTCGATCATCTGGTCACGTAGTTGATCAGTGAAAGAGATAAAAGTAAATTCCACAACAAAGATGCTCTTGTTTGGACTCCATTTAACGGTGCACTATTCCCATCATGTTGCATTGCTGCTGGGTTTTCTCCTAAAAGTAAAACACAAGAAAAAATGTAGAAAACCCAGGAAAAGGAAAAACAAAGACATTTCAAAAACCGAAAAACAGTTTTTACCCCGTTTAACATTCCAACTCTTCTAAAAACATATACGATTACGTTACTTAGTTTCTTCCTAACTGGCAGTTTGTTATCAGGACGTATTACCTATAATCAATAGAAAAAGAGGCTTATGAAGGGGTACATTGTATATATTTATTATTAATGAGCGTTTTGTACAAATTGAGTGTATTACCATTAATGTATTTTTTTATAAATTAAAAGTTGGAAATTGATGGTGATGGGAAATCCCTAAACTATTACAGGGCAGACTCCACAATACACCTTTACTAAGAATTGTTGATAAAGAGTTGGTTGTTTCAGAATATTTGATGTGTATAGTACTTGCTTGTACATTCATGCTTTTTAAAAAACACAGTTTAAAAAAACATAACTTCATTTATTTATCTACCTTCATGTCATTCGCAAAAATAAACAAATAAAAAAAGAGAAGAAACTGCTGTTATTTTATTGCGTTTGATCAAGAAGTTAGCTGAAATTATAGGAGCAGAACACGCTGAATGATTATATAGGTGTTAAAGATCTGTTATGACTATTATTAGAATGTTTAGATTCGGAAAAAACTCCATTGCTGCTACCAAATAACTTTCGAGCGCCCTTTTATATATTAATATTTGAAACGCATTTGTAGGAAAAATGGCATTATTCAATGGCAAATTTCAGAAAAGCTTAAACTTTATTGGCGAAAACGGAGAGAAAATGGCATATCTCTTCTTGTAATACCAATTCTATGAGTATCAATTTGTGGACAAAATTGTTGCAGATAAAAATTGTTTCAATAGTCACGTTACGAGTTCATTTCATTCATTAACTTAAATACCCGTTTTTTTGATTTTCTAGCATACCTCAGTCAAATCGCGACTAACGATTATTTAAAGTAGATCTGTAACATTTGGCAAATATCGACTAAAATGTCTTTGGAAAATATAAAGGAAAATAATCATCCGTTCAGGCAGAATATTAATGATGAGTAAACTGGAATGGACGACAACTACCTGTTGACCAAAACTGTATTTCCAATTTATAGGCATATAATGAAGGAAGTTTCAGTGGTCTTGTCGAAATGCTAAAATATAAAGGTTATTTTATATGTATTTCAAGACTTGTGGTCAGATATGCTGCTAAGTTCAGTTCTCTTCCCGCTCACCTAGCGTAGTGTATTTTACAACATGTAGAACTTAAATATAGTTCTAACGAGGTCTAGAAAACCAACTACTTACATTTTTCCATCTCTATGTGTATAAAATTAATCTTGCCATAACAAACATAATTACTATCATCAGATAAGTATCTATGAAGAAATGATACACTTTTGAGCGGCCTAATATAAAATATTATTTATAAAATAAAATATTATTTTGTATTTGAAATCTATATAGGGAATTAAGATAAACCATACACTTACCATTTGATATGACAACGGAGACACTTGTGGGTCCAGCATTTGAGGGTCCACAAGTATAATTGCCGCTTTCCGCTTCTCCAATATCTCTGATATACAGTTTACTAATGACTGTCTTAGCTGCTGCCTTTTCAACAGAAATGTCTCCTCTTGTAGAGTCGTAATTGATCATCCGATTATTGTGGTACCAGAAGACGAATTTTGGAGGATCTGAGCTATTGCTGATCACACAAGTTAGCTCGATTGAGCTGCCCTTCTCCACTATGATTTTCGGACCACCACTGATAGTAGCTTCTGCCACTGAAAACATAATGAGTTAGCATATGTAACTGCATGATGAAATCATACATAAATGGCATGATATTATACGTTAGACACCGTAAGAATTTGTATAGTGCAAGAATAATATATATATATATATATTCGATGTTATTTTATTGTTTTGCACCTTTGCTATTTTCAAAACCCATAAAGTTCATAAATCATACTGATCTAAAGTAGATATTTTCAGTCATGCTGCTGCTAATAAGATATAGAGATGTGTGTTTGTGTAAAGGCACGCCGTCCTTCGAAACTAGAATATATCTGAAGAAGTCGTCGGGGTTTCAAAGGATGACACAACTAGCAAGATAGATTCCATAATCAACTAACCTACTGATTTTAAGATGCATTAAGTCTTATTTTTCACTCCACTGGCTATACATTAAAGAATCTGACAGGACTAGTGAGCTACTTTTATTGACTTGAAAAGCTCAGAATATTTTTTTTTATTTTGCAATTAGAAATGCCATGAGTTATTATAAGCCCTGAATGGCTAGGTGGTTAGGGCGCTCGACTCGCAATCTGAGGGTCGCGAGTTCGAATCCCCATCCCACCAAACATGCTCGCCCTTTCAGCCGTGGGGGCGTTATAATGTGACAGTCAATCCCACTATTCGTTGATAAAAGAGTAGCCCAAGAGTTGGCGGTGGGTGGTGATTACTAGCTGCCTTCCCTCTAGTCTTACACTGCTAAATTAAGGACCATTAGCGCAGATAGCCCTCGTGTAGCTTTGCGCGAAATCCATAACAAACAAACAGTTATTATAAATTGTGAAATGTAAATACATTTTGAAAAAAAAAACGTATTTTTGTTGTCAGTTTAATTTAATATATTTGTTTATTTATCTTAATAAATGTTTTACTTCTTAATTTATTGGTTTTTGTTAGTTAATCTTTTTATAATTAGTGTGATCATTAGAAATTGTTATAGTTCGCATTCTGTTATTTTAACTCCTTCTAACGGGCATACTTGTGGAATTTATAATTAAAAACATCTAGTGTATCTGGTTAAAAATATGATTTTAAGAAGGGCTGCAAGCAGAAAATTTAGACGTAGTTTGGTATCTGTTAGTTTAATATTTGAAGCTTATCTTCTAGCTACTTACTGAACAATTTCATTTCTGTATAAAAGTATATTATAACTCTAAATCTTTCATTCTTATAATTTCTGCAATATGTAGTCAATAGGGCATGATTCTAGCCAGTGGTTTTCATAAAAAAAACACATTAGTTAATATAATAACTAAACTGGATCTCAAAGCTATGCCATCATCTTGATAATATAAGTCACGGTCGGTTTAACAGAACATTAGTGGTATGTTTGTGTATAACGATTCAATATCTAACGGTAACTTATATAATCAGGTTGGTGGTATAGCTATTGGTTCCCATTATTCCCTATATTCAATACCCCCAGTGGCACAGCGGTATGTCTGCGGACTTACAACGCTAAAATTCGGGTTTCGATACCCGTGGTGGATAGAGCACAGTTTGCCGATTGTATTGCTTTGTGCTTAATTACAAACAAACAAACAAACTATATATTCACCAATGTGGTTTTGTGCTTTTTTTTACGAAAACACTTTGGCTAAAAGTATGCCCTTGTTGAACTTAAACTTATATAGTATAGACGTTTTACGGAGGACACTTTTTGCGGTAGTAAAACACGGAGATCACGTAGAGAAATATCATAACCACTGTTTCGAATTGCCATTTGTGGAACTTTCATCGGAGTTCTTCAGTTGAAATATAAAACATCTAAAGTCATCACTCTGCCTAAGACTACGTTTATTCCAAATAACAGTATTTTCAACTGTCCTATACAAGTCACATCAGTTTTCATCGAAATTTTCCTCGCTGTGAGATGGTGGTAAAATACACGAAACTTGCAACTTCTGAAGTCTTTTATTACATCTTACCAATTGCAGACCGAAAAAAATGAAGTGCATTACTCGCCTGGGATGACACATGTACTTTCAGATCTCTTCACGACATTTCGGGAGGTGACTGTGGAATATTCTGAAAACCTATTAAATAAGATATCAAGTATAGAGCCGCTAACTGAATGTACATCAGCATCAGAAGAAATGTGAAGGAACATACTGGTAGGTTAGAGAACAGTGACTTAAGGATAATTGTATCATTAGTTGGAATTATTAGTGTCAATTTAAAGAGTACAATAGTGTGGAATCGTAACAGGTTATAAAAAGGAATTAACAGAGTCAAATTGCGAAAAGGTCTGTAAGGATAAAGGGTTTAAAATAACTGGATCGACTAGAGTTCAGTGAAGGTAAATATACGGAGAACTCAGAAATATTACAAATATAAGTATGCGAGATGAAATATCCACAAGACTGACTTGGTAGAGGAAATAGAACCTGTAAGGTTTTAGAGTTGAGAGTAAAATTGTGATGACCTGAGAATAAATAGATGAAAACTAAAGAAAGAAACGAGGCTAAGGAGCAAAAGCTAAAAAAAAAATGAAGATTGATTTGTAAACTGAAAATCTATACATCGAAGAGAAATAGAAACAGATGGCTTTTGAAATGAAGACACTTAAAGTTACAAAAGCACAAGGTAATGGAAAAGCAGTTAATCACAAGCGCTATTACTGGACTATAATGTGTTAGATTTATAGTCCTAGATCATTGTTCCAAAGTTTGGAGATGAACATAAGTCAGAGTTCTTGTGCTAAGGTCAATCTGTGACCAACCTAAAACTGACTTTGATTATTTCCCCCTCTTTTCACCATGTAAGGCATTAACAACATTTAATAATGTTGATAAGAAAAGAAACCAATTGTTACGATAGGATAAAATCTAATATTCGGTATGTCTAAAAGCTAAAAGCAAGAGGCTTATAGTGTTATGTTCCGAATCACGCCGAAAGGGTATGAAAAAATTATATACAATAGGTAATATGCCTCAAGGATATTTATAATATAAATATTACGAAACCTGAAAATGTCGTAGAGAACATATTAAAGCTAACAAATCTAAAATAACTTGTCTGTTTGGTGCCTAATGAACTAAAGCGTGATTGGGAGTATTAACAAAACTACTAAATTAGCTATCTAGTACTTAGTGGTAGGACATATTTCGAAAACCTAACTAGGGACAGGGAAATATGCAGAATAAATCTGAAAATAGGCACCGATTTGACGGTAAGAGATTTAATAAAAACTCATGCTATAAGCCTGATAGTGCAATAAAATATTCTATGCACATAGTTACGTCACGTCACAATATTTTATAAGAAGAAATCCAACTCCTTTCGGCAAGTGGTGGCTCCAAGAACTAAATTTATTACGAAACAATGGGAGTGCATTGACTTTAGTTAAGTTTGTATTTGTGTCATGTGAGTCATTGTTTAGAAAACATGCTAATATAGTGAATTTCAAAACAAACACAAAAACTCAAGTGACCCTATGTAAGGTTTATCTTGAAACCAAATACTTTTATAACGCTGTTGTTGGTGCAATAAATAAACTAACTGTTTAATTTTTTTTTATTAGAAAATGACATAATGCAAGATACAGTTCACAATATTTGTAAAGTCAAACTAGGCTTAAGGCTACACAAGAGGAAAGAGTAAAATGCCGAGAGTTCTAAAACATTGCAGTGCAAAGTGACTCAGTTGGGAAATGAGGAGGTTAATAAACAAAAATGAATCTTGAAAAAGATACTTTGACCGTGTAAATAAGTTGTCTACGGATAAAGAAAAAGGAGAAAGGCTATTTTTTTCTCAGCTTCATTCTTTACCATGAAAATAAAAAGCTAAAAATAAAACTTTGAGTAAAAATGAATTAATCAAGTAGTTATTCCAGATGAGTGTTGAGAATCTTTACTTATTGAACGCCTAGGCAACTACTGTGATATCGTTTGGGAATAAATAAAACTCAGAAAAAAGTTAACAAGAACGTTTTATTGATGAGGCTCCTTCACGGACGTTGCAAAATATGTCATAACTCACAATTAGCAAAAGAGCAAAACTATAGTGAGCGCGTTTCTACACGTAGTTGGTTAATCTTTATAATCAGCAAAACTATAGTGAGCGCGTTTCTACACGTAGTTGGTGAATCTTTATAATCAGAGGCTGTTGACCTGGTGGATCCCTTATCTCCATCGGAAAATGATAATAGGAATATTTTAATCACATGTTACTAAACTGTATGGCATCTAGATGTTATTTCTAACTTACGGTTGAGTATATTATTGTGGCAAATACATTTATCACTATGTTCACACATATCAGTTTCTTCCCCAATAAATTTATTCCAATTTTAGTATCCAATTTCTATTTTTCTTAATGCTTGAATTATAGAAGCATACGAAAGGTAAGCACCTAAAAGCTTTCTTGTGGTCGTAAGAAGTATTGACTACTCACATGTTTTATTTATATTTTGGGATCTCTTTCGATCTTTCATGGGAGTCACTATTTTGAGTTGTTGTTTGGAAGAAACGTGAAAGGACCAAGATACTTAACCAAGCTCATGTAGAAAATTTCAAACCATTCTAATCGTTATTATAATTAACTGGAACGTAACATAGATTATGAAATATACTGATATTGAGAAATGAAAATTTGTCTGATTTTTATTCAAAATAAAAACAACACTCGTCGTTAAGAAGGTTCATAATGAAAAAAAGTTTCAAGTAGTAGATAAAGTACTAATGTTAGTGACAATTAAAACAGAGACATTAAATTTAAAATTTGAAGGACAATTTCCAGTGGTCAGAAAATATAATATAGTGGACTTGTATAGTGGGCAGGTGCCAAAAGATTGGAAGTTAGCTAATGTCACTCCTCTTTTCAAGGGAGGTAATAAAAATTGTCCCAGTAATTACAGGCCTGCTAGTCTTACATCAGTTGTGAGATAAGTTTGGAAAGTCTGATAAAAGATGATTTGCGAAGTCATTTAACAAAGTTTAGAATTTTATTGGATAGTTAATATGGTCTCACTAAGGGAAAATCTTGCCTT